CCCTCCTCCCTCACTGCCGGTAATCATCGGGTGCCGGCAGGTAATCACCGTCGGGACCCGGTGATTGACACCACCCGCTAATGGCGTAGGGTGTACCCGGAAATGCAAAATGACATATATATATATATGTGATTTTGCACACAGGGGCCGCCCTGTACTAGTATATCTGCTATAGGGCGGTCCTTAAGCTGTTAATTATTATTTTGAGGATAAAACAAATTAAAGTGGCAGTCAGGATCATGAAATCAGCTGTCATAGACTGTAGGTTGCATTCTATTTTATATGGTACATAAAAATTAATTTACACATTATGTAAACAAAATGTTTTATACTTTGAATTTATATTTTAAAATGTTGCTGTTTATAGCTGTCCATACACTAGTAGAGTTGTAATTGAAAATTTTTGTTTTAAGAACATCTGCTTGTTTTTCTAATCAGTAGTGTGGTTAAATCAACATCAATTTTCAACTGCATTGTTGAGAAAATTCAAAGGAGCAGGACAGAAAATTTTTCTTGAAGGACCCAATTTCTAACAGTGTATGCAGTTTATTTTTTTTCAGTAAAGTCCATTTGTTCCAAAATAAAATGTAAAAATAAAGCAAAAATTTGAAGTATTTTTGAACATTGTCAAGTCATCAAATGCACAGAGAATTTTCATAAAAGTTTTCATTCGAAAATCTACTAATGTATAGCCAGCTAGCAAGTAGCAACATAAACGTTTCTAATTTAAAAAAAAATTCTATTTCTAAAGTGAGAGACCAAAAGTCTCTGAAACAAGAAAAACAAGACAAGAAAAATTGCTAAAATGCTTTTATAGTTCTGAGAGCCAAACGCTTGCCCAGCACTGGCTAATTTTCCATCCACTATCACATATTTTTTTTTCTATATTATTTACAACTTAACGTTTTGTACATTTATTTTTTTTATTTGTACATTTTTTTTTATTTTTAAGGTTTCCTCCTAAAGTTATTATGGCCTTGGTCAAGCAAACACAGGCTGGAATGTCAAGGCTGTGACTAAAACATTTCAAATGATCATATCTATGGACTACTGAGTGTCAAGAAAGTGCCACTAGAGAGAGTCCAATGCGCTTGAGATATTACCCTGTACCGTCATTCTTAAGAGAGAGAGAGGATCTTCTGTTTCTGTGGGGGATTTGTGGCTGAGAAACTTAGTGCGTGTCAAGAGGAACTAAATAAGCTGCAAGAAACACATCAGCAATATTAAGATGTAAAAATCCTTTTCTCTCCACCCCTGAATTCTTCAGAATGAACAGCATTTTGCTACCTATGGCCATTTAGTAATGGTTTACATCTACCTATAGAGACCAGTGCCTATGAGCTCTACACCAATTTATGCCTGTGCACTATATCTGAAGCACTCCCTTTGCTTTCTCTATCAGCTTAGATCATTTTTGGAGAACATGTACACCCATCATTGCATATTCCTGATATGTGACTGCTGTACCTGTACTTGTATGAAGCATTATCCTGTTCTCTTTGTATTGCCTCCTTTGTGTGAAATCCCTGGTGTCCCTGTCAGTTCCTCTGCTTTCCTATTAAAAACTGACCACACTAAGTGGGAGAGCACACCATGGTCAGTTATCTAGCTGTGCTGGGAACTCATCCTGCTCTCCTCCAATGATTAAACTTGTCCACCCCACACAAGGCATTCACTTGAAAGATCAGTGTCTGCTGTTTCTCCTTCCCCAGCTTCTTGTGCAGCTGACAACATTGGGAATGTGATCACATATAAAAAAAGTAAAAAAAAAAGGATTTATAATGTTTATTTATATATATATATATATATATATATACACATACATTATTTGTCTTTCATTTCTATATTTCTATTTTAAACTGAATAGGTTGTTTTAAACAGTGAGGGTTTACAATCATTTTTAATATGACTGCAAAACCAGCTGAATTTTGCTGACTGGAGTTGTTTTTGTCTTTATACTGCCATTAGTTCAGAAGATTGCATGTACTTCAATACAAACATTACAAGAGTATTTGTCAATGAAAGTTTCAATAGTACAATTATAAAAATCTCAAATATTATAGAGATTCATTGTTAGTATTAGTGAGAAGAAGCCAACATAACTATTAACCATTGATACAATAAGTGGATAAGAGAAATGTAAAGTAAAGTAAGCTTTTCAGCTTTAAGTACCAATTCCTAAGGCTAGGTTTACACATTTATATGTTTGTATGCTTGCACATACTTGATGCCCATTTTTCATTTGCTGGCTAATAAAATACTAAATAGGCTTATTTCAAATTCAAAATGCATTATATATTCATTATCATACATTTCCATTGACTTTTAAGGGCCACAGAATGCATGAAAGTGGACAAAAGAATGGACTTGAGCCATTTTTACACTCTTAAATTGTAAGCTCCAAGGAGCAGGGCCCTCCTAACCCTCTTGTATTGAACTGTATAGTTGCTGTATTGTCTCCTGTTATATTGTAAAGAGCTGAGCAAACTGTTGGCGCTATATAAATCCTGTATAATAATAATAAAATGTGAGCTTTGTGAACAGACTCTATCTGTAACATTTCTTTAGAAGATATGTGCATTTTAGTGCATTCTGACGTGTGTTTTAAACTGCAAATTTATAAGCATGGCCAAATTTCAAGTGGTCAGAAATTACTGCAGAGGTCAGATCAGTGCAAAATTAATTCAGGTTGGTCATTGTGGGTAATTGCAAATTGCCACTCAGGAATACAAACAAAAAAAAGGTAAATTATAAAATCTTTTCCCCTATTTTGTTATCCTCTCTTATCTGTATGTATTAAAAAGTTTACATAAAGCTAAGACTTCAGCTATCTTTTTCAGATTGTAAAATAGTGGCTGTTTTAGATGCATTGTTCATTTTGTAAAAAATTGTATAATATGCTGAAATATGATAAAAAGCACAGTAAATGACAGATCTTACATCAAAATGAGAATATACAAGAAATTCAGAATAATTATGAAAATATAGGCTGCCCATTAAAGTATCTTGGAAAACAATGCTACCCAAGCAGGGAAGTATAATGACATAAAAAATGCACTGTCCTTTTCAGATTCCTGCTTCCTGCAATGCCCCCCAAGGACAAACATCTGCATTACGGTAGCCTTGCTCTTGGGTCCATGCTGGGGAGAGACATTACACACAGGTGCAGTTTCTTTCCCAGAGATGATAAACACCAAAGTGATCTCAAGCCTTTGTCAGGATGTTTAATTGTGGCAAATCTCTGCCAATTTAGCACATGCTGATCATAAACAGAACCACTACCCTGGAGTCTGCGTACCAATTAATTTTGGGAGATCCTAAAACTCCACACCTGTGCTGGCAAACATTGGATTACCGATGCACCCTTTCTGTGCCAGGTCCATGGGGCTTTCCCAGGTTATGTAATAACTTTTTGCATTTTGTTTTAGAAACAAAAGCATAATCCCATGTTTTTGACAAATCTCCTATACTCATTTTAAACATTTTTTTACTTTCAAATTTAAGCTTTACTCTAGACGGATAGAAAAAACATTAATTTAGTGCTTTATTTAATAAATCATTACATGTATTTTAGTAGATGCAACTAGTGTAAGTACTTTAATTTGACTTGGTATCAAACTCTTGCACTCTTGGGAGTCAGTACAGTGAGCTGCATGAAAATACACTGAAAAGGAAAAAGCTGTTTGGAAGGAGAGCACAGAATTTAAAAAGGGGATGATCTCACCAGTCTGCTGCCTCTTTAAGTATAGGTTGGGGTGTAGAGAGGACACCACCATAACCTTTTATAGTCTATAAATGCAACTGAGAATGTGGAGTCTTCTACCTGTGTGGCAGGTCTGAGTAAATATTAAGTTTATATAAGCAAAAATACATGACTATAGTACAACAGATATCATCAAACTCTCACTAAATGTTTCGCTATCCACAACCATCTTACCCCTTCTATCAAAATGAAAAAACCAACACCGATTTGGAATAAAAATTTGGCCATAGCAGCCATTTATTAATTAAACAACCAAAATATAAAACATTCCTTAAAACAGGACAATAATAACATACAGTTCTCAGCATAAATGAGTACACGTCTTTTGAAAAGTAAGATTTTAGTCAATATCTCAATGAACACAAGGACAATTTCCAAAATTTTGACAAAACTGAGTTTTATAGAACATTTGTTTAGCTCAGTGTTTCTCAACCTTTTTTCAGTCAAGGCACCCTTTAAAATTATGGACAATCTCTAGGCACCCTTTAACATTCTGCACAATCTCAAGGCACCCCCTTCTAAAATGTAAAACATTATTCCAATAGTTTTACATAATGCAACAACATCCACACAAGTAGGACACCCAGCGTTAGAGATGATTTATTCTTCCAAAGCAAATACACAAATGCACACTGGTACTGACTAGTATTCCAATTTTCCTCTTCTCCTTCAGTTTTCTCTCTCTCACTCAGCTAATGTGACCTCAGTGCTGATGGAGAGGGGTAAGCAAGGATGCTGTGCAAGCGTCCGACATCCTCCTTATCAACTAATGATATCACTGGTTGTTAGGATGCCAGCAACTGGCAGGTTGTAAAAGTGCACAATGACAGCTTATGGCTTTTTGTAACTAAAAGATAGGCTTGATCCATCTGCTGGCTTGTATACAATTTTTGGGAAGTTTTTAAGCATTTTGCCAAGGCATCCCTAAAAAAGCCTGAAGGTTGAGAAAGGCTGGTTTAGCACATTACATGAAAGTAAGGTTCTTAATATAACTTAGATTAAAAAATCCTCAGTTTTACTCAAATTGGTTGATGCAAACATGAATACACCCTACAACAAAAACTACCACATCTAGAATTTTGTATGACTTCCATGATTTGTAAGAACAGCATACAGTCTTCTAGGCATGAAATTAACAAGTTGTCGACATATTGCAACATTTATCTTTTTCCATTTTTCAAGAACGACCTCTTTTAGAGCCAGGATGCTGGATGAGAGTGATGCTCAACTTGTTTCTTCAGAATTCCCCATACTGTAGGTGTTCAATTGGGTTCAGATCATTAGACATACTTGGCCACTGGATCACGTTCACCCTGTTCTTCTTCGTAAATGCAACAGTGGCCTTAGATGTGTGTTTTGGATCATTGTCACTAGAGATGAGCGAATTATTCAAAAATTCGATTCGGCTGATTCGCCGAATTTGCGGGAGAAATTCGATTCGATGCGAATTTATTCGCTGCGAATTTAACTTATTAAAAGGGTTTCTAGGCTTCAGAGAGCCTTTATATTAGTGCAGAACACTGTACCTTTAATTTAAATGCCCTTGGAGTCTGCTGGGGAAGAGAAATAATACTGTCAGTCAGTATGACATGCAGATGAGTGCCGTCGATCTTAGAATAACCGCACACTTCACTCATTTGGGCAGTCACGGGGCACGACGAAGAAGAAGAAGAAGAATGAAAAGAAGAATGAAAAGAAGAAGAAGAAGAATGAAAAGAAGAATGAAAAGAAGAAGAATGAAAAGAAGAAGAAGAAGAATGAAAAGAAGAAGAATGAAAAGAAGAATGAGAAGAAGAATGAAAAGAAGAATGAAAAGAAGAATGAGAAGAATGAAAAGAAGAATGAAAAGAAGAAGAAGAAGAATGAAAAGAAGAATGAGAAGAGGAAGGAAAAGAAGAATGAAAAGAAGAAGAAGAAGAAGAATGAAAAGAAGAATGAGAAGAAGAATGAAAAGAAGAATGAAAAGAAGAATGAAAAGAAGAATGAAAAGAATGAAAAGAAGAATGAAAAGAAGAATGAAAATGAAAAGAAGAATGAAAAGAAGAAGAAGAAGAATGAAAAGAAGAAGAAGAAGAATGAAAAGAAGAATGAAAAGAAGAAGAAGAATGAAAAGAAGAAGAAGAAGAATGAAAAGAAGAAGAGAAGAATGAAAAGAAGAATGAAAAATGAAAAGAAGAATGAAAAGAAGAGAAGAAGAATTAAAAGAAGAATGAAAAGAAGAAGAAGAATGAAAAAGAAGAAGAAGAAGAATGAAAAGAAGAAGAAGAAGAAAAAGAAGAAAAAGAAGAAGAAGAATGAAAAGAAGAATGAAAAGAAGAAGAAGAAGAATGAAAAGAAGAATGAGAAGAAGAATGAAAAGAAGAATGAAAAGAAGAATGAGAAGAATGAAAAGAAGAATGAGAAGAATGAAAAGAAGAAGAAGAAGAAGAATGAAAAGAAGAAGAAGAAGAATGAAAAGAAGAATGAAAAGAAGAAGAAGAAGAATGAAAAGAAGAAGAAGAAGAAGAAATGAAAAGAAGAATGAAAAGAAGAAGAAGAAGAATGAAAAGAAAGAAGAAGAAGAATGAAAAGAAGAATGAGAAGAAGAATGAAAAGAAGAATGAAAAGAGAAGAATGAAAAGAAGAATGAGAAGAATGAAAAGAAGAATGAAAAGAAGAAGAAGAAGAATGAAAAGAAGAAGAAGAAGAAGAAATGAAAAGAATAATGAAAAGAAGAAGAATGAAAAGAAGAAGAAGAAGAAGAAGAAAATGAAAAGAAGAATGAAAAGAAGAAGAAGAAGAATGAAAAGAAGAAGAAGAATGAAAAGAAGAATGAAAAGAAGAAGAAGAAGAATGAGAAGAAGAATGAGAAGAAGAAGGAAAAGAAGAATGAAAAGAAGAAGAATGAAAAGAAGAATGAAAAGAAGAATGAGAAGAAGAATGAAAAGAAGAAGAAGAAGAAGAATGAAAAAAAGAAGAAGAATGAAAATAAGAATGAGAAGAAGAATGAAAAGAAGAATGAAAAGAACAATGAGAAGAATGAAAAAGAAGAATGAAAAGAAGAAGAAGAAGAATGAAAAAGAAGAAGAAGAAGAATGAAAAGAAGAAGAATGAAAAGAAGAAGAAGAATGAAAAGAAGAAGAAGAATGAAAAGAAGAATGAAAAGAAGAAGAAGAAGAATGAAAAGAAGAAGAAGAAGAAGAATGAAAAGAAGAATGAGAAGAAGAATGAAAAGAATAATGAAAAGAAGAATGAGAAGAATGAGAAGAATAATGAAAAGAAGAAGAAGAATGAAAAGAAGAAGAAGAAGAAGAATGAAAAGAAGGATGAAAAGAAGAAGAATGAGAAGAATGAAAAGAAGAAGAAGAAGAATGAAAAGAAGAATGAAAAGAAGAAGAAGAAGAATGAAAAGAAGAATGAAAAGAAGAAGAAGAAGAATGAAAAGAAGAAGAAGAAGAAGAATGAAAAGAAGAAGAAGAAGAAGAATGAAAAGAAGAATGAGAAGAAGAATGAAAAGAAGAATGAAAAGAAGAATGAGAAGAATGAAAAGAAGAATGAAAAGAAGAAGAAGAAGAATGAAAAGAAGAAGAAGAATGAAAAGAAGAATGAAAAGAAGAAGAAGAAGAATGAAAAGAAGAAGAAGAATGAAAAGAAGAAGAATGAAAAGAAGAAGAAGAAGAATGAAAAGAAGAAGAAGAAGAAGAATGAAAAGAAGAAGAAGAATGAAAAGAAGAAGAATTCCAGTACAGCAAAAAGTGTATCTGCAGAGAGCTCCGCTATTTCTGACAGTTCTCTGACAGTTCCTTCACATTTACAGCGGTTGAAACATTTTATCTATTTATTTCCGAATAAAAACATCTGTATCCTAAATGGAAACAAATAGATACAATGTTTCAACCGCTGTAAATGAACTGTCAGAACTGTCAGAGAACTGTCAGAAATAGCGGAGCTCTCTGCAGTGACACTTTTTGCCGGCTGATCGGGGAAAATTCGATTCGTGCATCCGAAGTTTGCTAAAATTCGGATTCGGTGTGAATCGAATTTTTCCTAATATTCTAAACGAATTCCACTTCGCCAAGTTCGATTCGCTCATCTCTAATTGTCACGTTGTAAAAGTGCACAAAAACCAAGGGCTCTGAGTGATGGTAGCATCTTCTCTTTCGATATAGTGCACTACATCTGTGAATTCATGATACCATGAATGAAATTCATGTAGGCACACAGCATTTTCCTTTGTACTCCTCACCTTTGTGACGCCATACAATTTTGAAGCCATCAGTTCCAAAAACATTTATCTTGGTCTCATCAATCCAGAGTACAGAGTCCCAGTAGTCTTCTTCTTTTTCAGCATGGGCCCTGGTCAATACTAGGCGGGCTATTTTGTGCATGTGCTTTAGGAGAGGATTTCTTTGTGGATGACACCCATGCATGCCATTCCTCTGCAATGTACGCTGTATTGTGTCACAGGAAATAATCACCCCAGTTTGGCTTTCTACTTCTTTAGCTAAATGTAGTGAACTTCAAAGGTGATTTTCTTCAACCCTTCTCATCAGAAGATGCTCCTGTCGAAGTGTATAAAAGCGATACTAAAGATAATTTTGTTTTGTAAAATAAAAAATATGTCTATACTTACCTGTTGTGTGCAGTGGTTTTACAGAGAGCATCCTGGATCCTCCTCTTCTCGGGTCCCCCGCAGGCTCTCCCGCCTCCTCCTTTCTGTTGGGTGCCCCCATAGCAAGCAGCTTGCTAAGGGGGCACCCTCTGCTCCGTGTGTCCATTCTCACATGGAGCCACAGCTTTGTCTGCCCTCTCTCTCTCTCCTCATTAGCTGACTGGTTGTTATTGACAGCAGTGGGGGCCATTGGCTCCCTCTTGCTGTCTCAGCCAATGAGGAGGCAGAGACCTAGGACAGTCGAGGCTGTCATGCACATTGCTAGATCACAATGGGAATTTTGTACCTACAGAAAGTGTGCTTGAAAGTTGAATGTGGCCCAAAAAAATAAAAAACAAAATGAGGCCTCCATGTCTAAAAACTAATGAGCTGCGATATATTTTGGTTTTGTACTTTTTCTTTTGTTGTCCTATTTTCATACTTTCAAGCCTCGTTCATCCTGAAAGGCTTCTTCTGGTTTAGCAGATGTACAAGGGATGATGTAGATATAAATAAGATGTACAACAGATGTAAAATGTACAATTTCCTGTATTAAAAAGGACTTTGTTGGTTGTATTGTAGGGTGTTGTATATGTACAGTAGGTGAGATGGCAGATGCTGTATGCAATCGGAAAGAGAAATGTTTGGTAACTGTCTGTGCATGTTGATAGGTATCAAGTTAAAGTATAACTAAAGGCAAAACTTTTTTTTTTTAAGTTGTGGATAGAATGGAGAGGGATTAGCACACTCGTCAGGTTTTTATTGTTCTCTGTGTTCTTGTTAGGGAGATTCACCTTCTTTATTTGTCAAGTTTACTTTTAACATCAAGAGTGAAAATGATGAAAGAACATAAAAGTGAGATAAAGCGCTTATCTAATAATTAGTTGTGTGCCACTTCCAACAATAATGTGCTTCCACTCCTCTTCTGAATGTCACTCACCAGATTTTTAATGGCCCCTTATATTAAATAATCTTCTTCCAATGTGCACCTCTAGGTCTCAAGCAAAATGGCCATGCACACCAATGAACCAGAAATGAAGTCTCTGAATGTGGCATCAACAGCGTCGCTCTGCCCTACACATTTCGTCCATGTGATGTGGCCAGCCTGATAATGCTGACAATGTCACATGGCTGAAACATGTAGGGTGGAGCCACACAGCGAATGTTACATCTGGAGACCCAGAGGGGACATTGAATTGAATGGGAGCTATTACGTGTGATTTCCTGTAAATCCAATTTTTACATGTGGAATTTTTAATCCGAGGAGTCTTGGAGATGAAGCAGGAGTGGAGGAGATTCCACACAGAGCCAAATTGGAAGAAGATAAACTGTACACTATTATAAGAGGTAATTAAAACCTGGTGAATGACATTCAGAAGGGGAGTGGAGTGATAGCACATTACTGGTGGAAGTGAAGCGCGACTAGTTATTGGATAAGGACTTTTTCTCACGTTAAAGAATGGACTCACACATTGTTTACAGCATGAGCACTTTAATATACGGACTGGGAAGGAGGTGTACTGTTGGTCTATGTGCACAGTATTTTGTTGTAAAAGTGAAGGACTGATTCACAAAATTGTGTTTGTATACTGTATACATGTTAATTAGTGTTTCAATTTTTTTTCTACTGATATTGAGGTATCACACAAAGGGGAAACTATGTTACATAATATGTTTAGCTTGAAAAGGTAATAACTGGCAACAGGTGGTATATAGAGAGAGTATTTTTTGATTTTTTTGGTTGTTTTTGTTTTATATGTGAAATCTGAAAATTGAAATGGTAATAGCTGGTGAATGAAGTAACGCACAATTTTATACATTATCTTTGTTTTTTTTTTCACATTTTAGCACTGCTCCAGATTTTGGTATTATCTGCACTAATTTCTCCCTGAAGGAAGTATAGGAGGTGTACAGCAGCTTTAGTGGGAGTAAGATATATTTTTTTTTAATATTTATTTTAATATTTTTCAGCATTTTTCTTATCTTAGGTGCAGAGGATGTATTCTATTTATTCTGACACAAGCACACCAAAATCATTGCTTTTTATTCACCCTAGGTCATGTCACTGAGTTTAGTTCCAGTGCTTAAAAAAATACAGCAACATGATCTTTTTGCACCAGAACACATGTAAATGCACCAGAATACACATAAATGCATGGGGGTGAGAAAAATCTAGTCTACCTCCTCTGGTGATCCATAATTCCTCGTCCACTTCCTGGTTTATTATAAAAACGCATGAAGATGATTTGCAATCTGCACAGTAGCTGTGTAGGTTCCTCTGAATATCTGGAGATGGCTGAGAAAATGTAGGTAGATTTTGTTGCATTCACAAACATGGTGTAGGAGCAGGGGCAGACTGACCATTTGGAAACTCGGGCACTGCCTGAGGGCCCGGGGTCAGTAGGGGGCTCCATGAGATGCCCCTGGTACCTTTTTCATAGGTTTTTTTGCGTTTGGGCAAGGACACAGGGGCCCCATGATCCCCTATTGCCCGGGGGCCCCATGAGTGGTCAGTCCACCCCTGTGTAGGAGCATCCAGAACTTAAACAGAAATTAACCGCAAAGGAAATGCTAACATACATCTATAAAAATAAAGATTTTTAAGTGAAAAAAAGGTAAAAGAAAAAAAATCTAATGGATTAAAATTGATTAAGTGCATTAAATTTGCATGTGCTGAATGTGGGAACTGTGGTGTAAACATGTTTAGATGAATTTGGTGCATTTAGATACATATAGTCACATGTAGCTGCATATAAAATAACATTTTCTCTAAATGCAGCTAAACTGACCACCCCTAAATGCTGGTAAATGCTCAACACCACACAATTATATGCATTTTATGATTTAGAAAGGTTTGACAGTGCCATTGTAAATGAGGCCCTAAACAACTCCCCCCCAAAGGAAATTTCTGCACCCCCAACATTGATTGTAGCCTTGCACATTCCTTTGTGTATTCCTTCATGTATTGTAGCCTTGCACATTCTTTCATGTATTGTAGCCTTGCACATTCCTTCGTGTGTATGCGCAAACTTCACCACAGTTCTTTTTGTGATACCATACGCATGCCGTCAAGCAAGCCTGCTTATAGAAATTCTCTGACAGGAACAAGTAAACTTGTTTTCCCTGTATTTGATGTGTCGAAAGCAGAAAAAAAATGGGCATCACAGCTTGCACAGTATGGGGCTGCGTAGGCCCAGACCAGTCAGGGTGCCCATGATGACCTGTGTCCACAGCCAAAAGTAGCTACAAAAGACACATGAGCATCAAAACCGAGCCACAGAGCAATGAAAGGAGGTGGCCTGGTCTCACTAATTATGTTTTCTTTTACTTCATGTGGATGGCCGAGTGCGCATATGCCACTTACCTGGAAAAGAGATGGCACCAGGATGCACTATAGCACTGTAGTATGATGCTTTGGGCAATGTTCTTATTTTATAAATCTTGTGGAAAATGCACTATGTATCATATTGGCCTTATTTCTCTGTTGCTCCATCCTTGCTTGTACCCTAACAAGGTTAGTACACTATGTGGCATCTAGTTTCTACCATTTGACATTGGAGTGGTCTTTACATTGGCTGGCATTAATACAATGGTAACATGTTTAAATACTCTCCCTAATAATTAATTTTTTACCTTCTTCCTTTCCCCCTTTTGATTTTTTAGATTTTACAAACGCTGCTTAGTAACCATTTTGGCTGAGTGGATTATTCTGAGGCCTTCATATATCTTCTATACATTTTTCACTTCAGTGAATATTTTCAAGTGGCCTTTTGGGCTTTAAAATCGATGTTAACATCAATTTTACAGTCTCTATTTTTGGAAGGTTAGCACTATTTCCATTCTATTTGACACAAGAGATAACGGCCTTAATTTGGACATGGGATTCCTCAATCATTATCCAACAGTTTTATGACTATCACCTCAAGCATGATGACTCCCTCTGTGATGTGAGTGTTGTCTCCCCCCCCCCCCAGTCTGTACTTTTGCTGTGTCTTTTCTCTAGCCTTTTTTTCATTTTTTTTCCTCATCCTCCACATCTCTTCTAACATTTTGCTAAAACTTTGTGAGTAGTGCTGCTTGGACCCTGAAGAAGGGGACATACCCCGAAAGCTTGTCCTCAAAATTGTATGTTAGTGCAAATAAAAAAAGTATCACGGACAGTACTCAATTGTTTCTGAAAGGTTAGCGCACATATTTTATTACCCTTATTACATTGTTATCTTTATTGGGGGAGGGGTATATGTATTTCATGGTCTATATACCTCTCTTAGATCTAGAGACCCCCCTTCAGGGACTTCCTAGTGGTGTATCATCCACTGCGGGGTCCCCCTGCTGACTTGCCTGACAAGTGGTTGCTTCATGCGTTACCAACATTTATCCCGACACACTTTCTGCTCTGTAGCTGATACCTCAAGGTATTTCTGGATCTATATAGCTAACAACTAATAATTTTATACTATGTGACATCATGTTATACTTATATTCAACCCTTCTTTTATGTAGTAACTCCTGAAGAAGCGATACTCTTGCGAGAGTAACTACAAAGTGATTACCAATATCGACATCTGATTTATGTCTTTTGATACTCTTATTAGGATACAGTATTTTTGTGTCAATTTTAACTATTTTTGATGAGCTTTGTAATCAGCATAGAATGTTCTACCCCCTTTTGGGGTCTTACATGCTTAGAGGATTAATAAATATGTATTTGCTATGTGATGGTCTACATTTCTACAATAAAGTGATTTAAAATTATACCTTTGTTGCAGTGCCTCAAAAGTCTGCATGTGGCCTTTTTAATTTTATTCAATTTTTTAATTTTTATTTTTCTTTGGTTCATTTTATAAAACCACCATTCAGTTGAATGGCTATGCCTCTCCTCACACAGAGACCGCTAGTGA